CCTAACTAAACCCTCGGTGTGGCAGCCCCTTGGCACTTCCCCAGGGCAGAAGACCTGCACACTCAGCTCGGCCCCAGCTGCCCAGCCCACCCGCACCCAATCTCAGCTGGCAGCTCTTGTTGGGAGTTTACAATTCTTATTTTGATAATTTTTTAAAAATTGGTGTTTTCCACCTGGAAGGAGCAAACCGGAGGGGCTGGCTAATGAAGGAACTTAGATTTGCAAAACACTGTAAATAATTTAGTGTTGTATTTCAAGGGAAAAAAATAGCTTTCTTAAATCATCCCCGCAATATAAATTGCAGACTTATAGTATGGTCCTGGTAAGTCTAAATTTTTAAAGGAGCAATATTCAAAGAGACATAGATGTCTGTATTAATTATTTATTCGCTGGTGCCTTCCTTCGTTTCTAACTTATTATTAATTAGGCGCCTCTAGTCTTTCGCAGAGCGCTCCACTGAGCCGGTTGCAGCTTTAAATATGAATTAAAAGCAAATCCAAGCTACTGTAATGCGAAAATTATTCCGTGTCTTGCATGGCAGAGATGAATAGCTGCGTGGATCAATACCGTGAAACTCGGCTCCCAACGACAGGGTTATTGATAGCTTATATTAATGATGTTAATGATGGAAAAAGGAAAACAACGGCCCACCCGACTTAGAAACTTTTTAGCCGCTGAAACCCCGCAATAAAAAAGGGAAGGGGGCAGGAATCGGGCTTAAGTGTAATAAGAAAATTATTTATGAAACCGGATAAATGACTTCAGAGCCTTGATGCATTTGAACCTAACGCTCTCGGCTCCTGGCGGCCCCGGCTCCAGCTGGGGAGACCGCGAAAACCCCAAGCCACGGGGAGCTGGGGGGCGGGGGGCGCTCCGCCTGCCTAGGCAGCCTCCGGTTTGCCGCCCCTCTTCCTGCGTCCCCGTCGGGAGAGCCCTAAGGGGCGCCGGTGGCAGAGGCTTTTGGAAGTTGGTGGATTGGAGCAGATGCAGGGCTGGTCCCCCTTGTCCGGGCGGGGACAGGAAGCCGAGTCGGTGGGGCCCAGCGTCCTGGGACTTTGGCCTGATTTTTTTCACTGGATCTCTTGGCACTGGCTCAAAGGGTTCGGCCTGTGGGGGGGCCCAGGTCCGGCTCCCCTCTGTTGCCTCCCGCGCATCTGGCCAAGGCTCTCGGGATCCCTAAAATGCCAACCGGTGGCTGGTGCCTGAGCAGGGGAGGGAGGGCTTTCTATGAAGAGAAACTCTTTTAAACAGGGTAGGAAAGCTGGCAAAGACGCTCACTCTGCTCCCCTGCGCCTCATCAGGTTCTCTGCCATGCCCAGAGTTTAACTGGGCCTTGGCATCCGGCTCCCAGCAGCGGGGGGTACTCCAGGCTGGGTGCTCCCGGGCGCGGGGAGGAGACGGGTCTGGGCCCCAGGCTCCAGTCACTCGGCACAGGCGCCTCCCCCGCCCCCGCAGGCCCCTAATATCGACCCACGCTCCCTTTTCCCCTAGTCGAGGGCCACCGAGAGGGAGGAGAGGGCGGAGGGTGGGGGCTGGGAGGGGGGGATGGAAAGGTTAAATCTTGACCCTGGAGGACAGCGGGAAAGGTCAGAGCCCGAGGGTCAATCGCAGGCCTGAGGTCCCATCCCCCTCCGCTGGGCATAGAGCCTCCAAGTCCCCTCCCCAAGCCAGGGTCCTAGGCCCCGGGAGGCAAAGGGAGAGGAGGGGTGCGACCCCTGGCAGCCACGGAGGGGGCGGTGCAGCAGGTGCTAGGGTAGGTGGTGGCTGTCCCAGCCTGGCAGCACCGTCCAGGGCGCCCTGAGTCTGGTCTTTTGGAGTGGAGAAGGAAGTTGGGGGGCTTTTAATTTATGTCGGGGACTGTCATTTGTTCTGTGCGTCAGGAGGAAGGAAAGGCCACCCGGGGCTGTAGGAAAAGGCCAAGGTAGTCCACCAAGGGAATCAGTTTCCCTCCAAAGGACCGGGTAATTTTGTAATTTTTAAATAACTGTTTTTCTTCCCTCCTGCCTTTCCTTTCCTTCCTTCATAATCCTTTTCACTTCTCCTTTTCTCTCTTTTTTCCCATTTCTAGCTCTTTTCCCTTCCAGTTTCCTCCCTCCTTTTCCTCTTCCTCCCTCCCTTTTTCCCTTTCTTCCTTCTTTTTTTCTTTCCTTCCTATAGCTGTACCAGCAGTAGCTTTCTTCCTTCTTACTCCACACCTCCCCTTTCTTAATTTCTCCCTCATCTCCTCCCTCTCTCCTTTTTCCTTTTTCTCCACCTCTTCCTTATTCTAGCTTTCTTCCCTCATTTGCTCCCTCCTTCTTTAGGTGGGGGCCTAGCGCAGGTCTCTGCACCTGCAGACTTTCATATAAGAGGTGCCAGCTGTATTTGGAATGGACATGAATTAATCCCGTTTTTTGAAAAAGGTGAGCGCCAGGTGGGAGCTAGGCAAGCATCAGGATGGTGAAGGGGTACCCAGCTTCTGGGTGGCCTTTCCCTGTAAATGGTGTCCCCCCCCCCCCCCGTTTCTGCAGTCCACTCCCAGGGCAGGGTCCTGTCCCTTTCTGAAGCCTAGAACATTGATGGTATTCATGTGTGTGGGTGCATTCCTCTTGCTAACTGACACCTTCACAGTGCCATCTGAGCCCCTGAACATCAGCAAGATTTTTGGATTGTTTTAATTATATTTGATTTTATTTTGGAAAAAAATTTAAAAAATGTGAATCTCAGAGGCCAGGACGGCCAGAGGTTTAAATATACCTGAGGGCACCAGGGTCGGCCCTCTAGAAACCATTATCTAGATAATTGTACAAATCCCAAACTTCCTGCCACCGAGAAAGAACTTCCTCTCAGCTGTTTGACTTCAAAGTCCACAATCAACTACGTGTTTCAGATAAGCACCGGGCCCGCATAGACGCAGCCTCACCGCCACACAATCTACCAGCAAACGGCCCTTCCTTGGAAAGGAAACACAACAGACACTGCAAAAAAATCACTTGATTCTGGGAAAAATCAATATCAAAATTAGATTTATTGTCTGCTTATGTGATTAAAAATGACAAAGTGTTGCCTTTTATTTTCATAAGAAGACAGAAGGCTGAAGAAAATAATTTACTATCGAGTTCTGCTAGTTTCATTTGCCTGGCCAAACCAGGACGCGCCCCATAGGTGCGTGTGAAGTGCAGTGGCACGGCCGGAGGCCCCCTGCGCAGGAGTGAGCTCGCCGTCGGAGGAGGTGTGCTGCTGCCGTGTGCGAGTAAAATAAATTTCCTAACCTCCAACTTCAGGCAACGCTGGTCCAGCTGGGCCGTTCTCAGTTCTGCCTCATTCCAAAGAAATACTGAATGATCCGTCCCTTGACCCTAACTTTTCAAACCCAGGTCCCAGGTCCTCCCCCTCCCTCCCCAGATAACTTTCAAAATGACGCTACTTTATGGGTTTTCAGACTCAGGCAGCGCCGGAGTCTTCCTGGCTCGCTCAGCCACTGCCTACCCGGTCCGCATTCAGCCTTCGATCCTGCGAAGAGCCACCCCATCCCTGTGTGCATGTGTGCGTGTGCGTGTGCGTCTGGGGCCGGCTGCTTGGCTCGCGCCGGGCTCCCTTCCCCGGGAGGCTCCAGGGGTTTCAGAGTCTACGCTGGAATCACTAAAATGGGTTTCCGAACCCTCAGCTGGCTGGATTCTTCGAGTGTGGCGGGCGGTGCGCGCATTCGAGGAAAACGACTGCGTTGGGAGCGCGCCGATTACACTGACGCTGGGGTTTATTTATCTACGTTAAAAACAAAAAAGAAAAACTAAAAAAATTTACAGTGTGTAGCTTCTCTTACGCTCCCCTCCCCCTCCCCAAGCCGGGTCAGCATCTCCCCGCGACCCCGCCGCCTCAGAGCACGCTGCGGCCGGGTCGCCGCCTTGCTCCGGAACAAGGGGTTCCCCAGAGCGCGAGGGGGCTTGGAGCGCGCCCCGCGACAGTGCCAACAGCGTCACCCCCGCTCAACAGCACGCCTGGAAAAATAACTACCAAGCTGGTTCCTTCAGAGCCTCTAAATACACCTTCCGATTTGGAACTAGAGCTGCTTCTCGGGTTGTACATGCCGGGGACTCATTTGCAAAGACGTTCATTGGTCCTCCTTTTGTTCTGAGACCGAACCCAGAAGGCGCATCTCCTGGTCGTTGCAGAAATGACACCCAGCCAAGCCACCTCCTCCACAGAGGCCCCAAGAACATGGCTCCTCCAAGGTCGCTATGGCCTCCTCTTGGGGGTCCAGGGCGCAGGGAGAAGCGGGCGTGGATCCCTTGCTATTTGTGAATCTGACAGGCCCCGCCGCGCTCCAGCGCGGGACTGGCAGTGGCCGAGTCCCACGAGCTCAGCCGCCTCCTGCTGCCGGCCTCCATCTCTCTCTCTCCCCGTCCTGTCGTGCCCAGCCAAGTTACCTTCGAGTTAGGGCGCCTTTCCTCCAGACTTCGGAAGGCAGGTGCCGAGGGCGCGGAGGTCCCGACAGACCTGGCCGCCTCTGAGACTGCAAGGCAGCCTGAGGGTCGGGGCGTCGGGTGGCCCCTGCCATGGGGCAGTTCAGCCACCAGCTTCCTGGGGAACAAACCTGGCCTCTCCCATTGTCCTCCCTGGCCGGCCTTCTCTCTAACCTCACCGCCCAGCCTGCCTCCCTGTCCAGCCTCTAGCGCCCGGGAGCTATCAGCCCGAAGGTCAAAGGTCAGGCCTTCTCCAGGCCCGGGTATCAAGGCTGCTCCGCCGCCGGCGAGAGCACACGAGTAGCCAGTCATGACGGCTGGATGCCCTAGCCAGAGAGAACAGAGGTTAACCCCAGCCCCCAACTTAGCCCTCTTTGAGGATGTGGGGTCTTGAGAGGGGTGATGTAGTTTCAGAGATTATATCTTGACCATAAGGTCACTTATCTGGATATTTTAGGAGTTGTTTTTTTTTTTTTTTTGAGGAAACTTAAATGATTTCTTTAAGCATGAAGGACTGAGGAGCAGTCTTCCATTGCATCATTTCATTGCCCCGACCTGGCCAGAGCTGGAAAGAAGTTGCCAGAAGGGATACAGGAAAAGCAAATGAATGCCCAGCCCTCCAAGTATCTAGTTCTGTTCCAAAGGGGCTGACCTATGCCTGAGTGAGGGCAAGGCTGGCAGAGTAAAAAGCAGATTTCTATGCATGTTCACGTGGCCCAGTGTAATGAACACATCTCCATCAATTTCTGGAGGCAGAGGGCTCAATTTATTTCGGTTTTAGCTTGGAAAGTCCTCAGCTTTAAGCTCTGACTACAGAGCAGCCGAGTAGTTAGAATTCTCTCTCCAACGAAAGTGACGGTCAATAGAATTCTCGGTATCAAATGAGCAATAATTTGCTGTGGCTACATGCTGGATAATGAAAGATGTTAGCGGGATCAATAAAAAATGAAAACACTTTTACTTACATCTTGAGTTACTGTTTTAAGAGAGCGAGAGATGCAACAAACCCAAAGCTAAGGTTCAGAGCCACCCAACAACCCCCTCAGAACCCAGAAGCAAAGAGTTTTGTCATTACCTAACTGTCCCTTCCTGTATGCCAGAGCTCTACCTTCTTCCTCTGTGTGACTGGAGAGTAGACTATTTACATTAAATTAACTCATAGAAACCAGAAATTATTTAACTACTAGGGTATTATTTTTTTGTTGTTCCCTAAAGCCAGAAATAAATTTGAAATTGTTTTCCACCAGGACTAAAGGTCCCCTAATTGGTTGTAGTTTACCAAAAAGCACGCAAGTGTCCCAAAGCTGAATTGTCCTTTGAAATGCTTCAAAATGTGCACTTAACCCAGATGCCCAGGAGGGCCTGTGTTCTTTGGTTGTACATATAAGGGCAAAAGAATAGATTTAATTCCTTTGGATTTGTTCTGTGTTGTCACTAAATCTGGAAAGTTCAGACCTTTTTAAGCGTTCTTTTTCCCAGACAAGTCAATTCTCCCATCGTCTTTCAATCATTTCATCTGTTCAATTTGTTTTCATTTTGTATTGGGTTTATTTGTACTTTCCAGCCTGCTTTTTTCACCACTCAGTCTCCAATGCTCTCTTACATATCTATTGTGTAATGATAGAACCTATTGTGAAATGAGCGGAGAAATATTTTACCTTTTCCAAAGATACTAAGACTTAAAAAATGAGAAAAACATCCCGGGTACTCTGCATGAAACAGGTGCAACGAAAAAGCTCACTGCCAGACAGCTTCCACCCCTCAAACCAATATAAGTAAAGAACATTTGAAAACATGTTTAGCTGCTTTTGCGGATTTAAGAAGCCTACATTTTTTTTTCTCACCATTTAAAAAAAAAAAAGCACATACACAAATTTAGCCGCGGCTTTATTGCCCTCTGACCACAGGAGCTGGTTTTGCCACCGAGTTAACGGTCAGTGCCGCAAGGTCAGTGGCCTATGATCTTTGGCAGGTTTGGTTTGGATTTGGAGAGACAGCTGAGCAACCTGGGAGATTTAGAAACCGTGAACCAGCCTAGGGAAGTGTTACACAAGTTTCAATGTGGGGATTTCTCCCAGCGAGCGAGTCCCGCGGGCTCCATCTCTACAAGGCTCATGAATGCAGGTGCGGTTCCGCCGCCGCACGCTGCCCTGCGGGAGAACCAACCGCTCACAAACCGCAGACGCGCGCTCGCCTGCCGGCCACCAGCGTGGGGCACGCTCGTGTTATTTACACCCTGCTCGCGAGCCCCCTCTCTGCTCTCATTTGCTACTTTAAACTCGCAGGGAGGACCTGTTAGCGGCCGTAGCTGGACGGGCAGGCTGGGAGGGGTGCGCCCTCGCTGTTCTCCCCAGCCGTGACGCTGCCCGCTGCCCTCCGCCCCCGGCTCCCACCCCGTCTGCGTGGCCACAAGCTCAGCGCTGCATCAGCGTGGCCGGGCCCCTGGAGCCCCTACCCCGGCCTACCGCCCTCCTCTCCTCCCCCCTCTCACTCCCGCACACGCCTGTGAGACTGGCTTACCCTGGTGGGCGAGTCGCAGCGCATTAGCGGATTTCATGGCAAGTTGCTTCTGTGACATGAGATCAGGTTCGCGTTCAAGGATTTGCCCCCTAAGAGGGAGGGAAACGAGAGTCAATCTGCATAATTGCAAATAAGAAAGAAACAGGGAAACGGGGAGCCGAATTTCAAGCCCCCAAATTCCTCCCCCCTTGGAACCTATAAATCACGCTCCCCCCTCCCCAACCCCCCGCGCCTCGTGCACAGCAAGAAAAAGTAATCCGCACACGTCGCAGGTGATACCTTTTATTGCGCTCATTTTAAAGACAGGGACAGGATGGCTTCCTGTCCGAAGACTTTCTCTGGAGCCCCGCCCGCGGCAGGTGGGTCAGCCGGGCCGCTTCCGAGCCGGCAGATTCCTGCAAGGTCGCGGGGGTAAGGGGTACGACGACGAGGAGGAAGGACCTCGGGCTCGGCGCCCAGTGGCCCCCCCTTGGCGCCCAGGGTCTGAGCCAGACGCACAAACCCAAATTCCCTCCAGCTCCTTCGGCTCCATCTTTAAGTCCAGGCAAAGATCAATTCCCTCCCTCTCTCTCTCTCTCTCTTGCACACACACATTTGCAGCCATAAATAAACAGCTCCCAGCGAAATCAGGAACCAGAGAAGAGAAAGGGAGTAGAAAGGAGAAAAGAGAAGGAGGAGAGCCGGAGCAGGAGTCTCGCCTCTCCTGGGCGCCGAGTGGCTCTTTTTGGTCAGGCCAGCCTTGCATTTGGGGATGCAACTTGCATTTGAATAGCTGCCTGGGCTTGTTATGGACCCGGGAAAGCTCTGAAAGGGAATCACTATGCAAATTGTCCCAGTTACAATCGAAAGGTTCGATCTCCAGGAGCTGCCTGACGGAAGTTGATGTCAGCTATCTGTGCATTAGGGTTACATTACCGCCTTCGCCGGCCTCCTCGCCACCCCCGCTCGCGCCTGCGGGGGAGGCTTTTTTTTTTTTTTTGCGTGTGTGTGGCTTATGTGTATATTTTCCCGCAGTAATTAAAAAAAAAAGAAAGAGAGAAGAAAAAAAAAAAGGCTGAAGGTGGAGGCGTAGCTGGCTTGGGCCTGGGAGGCCCACGGGCGGAGAGGGGAGGAGGCGCGCCGCTTGGGCGGTGGGGGTGTGTGTGTCATTCTTTTGCTGCAGGTGTTGATGGTGCCTCTGAAATCAAACATTTAGAAATGGTTTTTTAGCGCTTTGCAGGACGAGGCGGCGGCGGCGGGGGGTTGAGGCGGCGACGTCTGCCTCCGCCCGCCCGCTTGATCCTACAATGCCGGCTGCAGATCAATACCCGCTCACTGTAATCCCAGTAATTGTAGAGCTCGCAGCTTTTATTTTAAAGAAATAGGACACTAGGGCGCAGGCGGGCGGCTGAGGCAAGCGCGGTTGGGCTGCGGTGCTGCGCGGGGGCCCGGGGGTGGGGCTTTTGGGGCGCCCATTTTTACCCCAGAGCCCAGAAAGCGCCCCGCAGCCGGGTGGTGGCGGGATTGCGGCGCCAGGCCGTTAGCCTGGGCCCACCCGGGGGCCCGCCGGAACATCGACGTCCGCTGGGTTTCTGGCCGGGGTGGCTTGGCGCAGGCCGCGCGTGGCGGGGCGCTCGGCGCGGCATCGGCCCTTTCCCGGCCAGCTCGCGGGCCCTCCAGCAGAGCCGGGCCCGGGTATGGGCATCCCGGGCTTGAGCGCCGATGCGGGGCCGCAGTGGCCCCAGACCTCGGCGTCTGGGGCCCGAGTATGCTGGAACCCGGGCCTTGCAGCCTGCAAAGCGAGAGGTTTTGTCCCTTTATTTTTTGCCGCCTTCCAGCGGCAGAGGTCGGGCCGGGCTCCGGGCTGGCCTGGTTTGGGCCTAGTCAGCGTCCAGCCCTCTGTCCCGGGGACAGGGAGGGGCGCTAGGACCCAGCGAATTTCCGCCGGCGCGGCCCCTCAGGCCCGGGGTCCCTCCAGGTGCGCGGAGCAGCCTCGGGCCCGCGCCCGCCGACCCCGCCGCGCCCCGCAGGCCGGGCAGGCCCCGCGAGCCTCCTGCTGCCTCTGTCGCCCGCCCCTTGCTGGCAGAGCCCGGGCAGGACCGCCGGGGCCTGGGGCCGCAGCCCCCGCGCCGCTGGCCGCCCGCAGCTTCTGGCGCCCCCGAAAAAATGACCATCTGTCATTCAATTAAGGTTTCAGGGCAGCTGATGGGGGAGCCAGGGTCAGCGACCCCAGGACAAAACGGCCTGCTGCCTCGGATAGGAGAAGTTCAAATGTTAAATGCAGAACATTGTGCCCTCTCCCAGTCCGGGCCCCCACCCGGCTGCAGGTCCGGCCGGTGGACAGCAGCGGGGTGAAGGGCAGCGGTCATTAGCACTTAGATTTCAGCTCTGGGCCCGGCTCCTTCTGTTGGGCTATTTTGACCAGAGAACCTTTAACCCTTTCACGGCCAGCCCTCCCTCCAGGGAAGGCCAGATTGTCCAAAGAGGGGAAGAAAGAGGGAGATCAGATGCACCCATATAAAAAGGGTCCAGACTGTATTCCTGGCCACTTCTTCATAGGAAAAGCACACGACATACCCACGAGATAGAAGAAAATTCATTATAGACTAAATAAACTAACAGGGCTTCATAACATTTTTATTTTTGAATGTTTAGTTTTTGGGGAAAGAAATGCATTTATTAAATATGATCGTGGAACTACTGGGCCACTGTGGGGAGAACGAGTCTGTAAAAAAATTCTAGACTTTTCTCCCATAACTAAGTGTATTCACGCAAATGTGTGAGTGGCGATGACCCCCCAGCTAGCTACAGACGACAAAGTGTTGACCATAAAGAGTCTCATTGAAGCCAGTCTCATTTGCAGTTGGACAATTGGTTTTCCCCATTTGAGACTTTTCTGTAATAAAATGAGGTTAAAAAAAACCCGTAAGTAATGGAATTCATAAAATACATTCATTAAGCCTCCACAGGCCATGGGCATTCAGGTATTAATATGCTTGGCTTCTCCACACTAGACTTAGGGAAGCAGCCACATACTTAGCAGTTTTCAGTGGAAGATCCAACTAGCCTTAATTATTAACCATGAAGCCTGAAAACAGCTCTGTCCATGCAAGATATCATTTCAAGGCTTGGACATCTAGGGCCTTCAGCAGCTTAGTTAGTAGTAGAAGAAGGACCCAGGGCTTCCGGCTTCCAGCACCCAATTGTCAACATTAAACCTAGTCCCTACTTTTTGGAAGTAACAATCAATCAATCGATCAATCAGGCATTCAGCATTGAAGCACCTGAGCAAATTTTTCATTGGATAACAATGAATAATGCATGGCCCTCCAGTATATTGACTGTGGTAAATGGTCTTTAAGGTAAGGTGCTGCAACAAGTACCTTTAAATAAAATCAAAATAAAAAGTTTACCACAATCATAATAAATTGTTCAGTCATCATCCTATTGACCCATGTAGCATCTTTCTTCAGGAGCATTTGGAGTTATTTTTCCCCCTTACAAACAGACCAGAACAAATTGATGAATTGAGCTTTCACTATGCTAATTTAGACATTATAAATATTTAATTAACATCCCTAATAGCCAGTCATAGAAACCCCCCCCCACTTTACACTCTTCTTAATCTAAAGTAAATGCTTTTCCCATTAATAGCCTGATGCCATATTAGCAGCTTCCTCCATAAAAGGGCCCCCATTTAGTCCAAAAGGAGGAGGGCATTGAGTAGTCTGCATTAGGTAAGGGTTTATTCCTGTTTATAAAGGATCCTGGGAACAATTTCAAGTCCCTGCAAATTCTACCTTTCTCAGTGCTTGCTTAAGTGAGACTGTTCTAAGAATTGGGTGTGTGTGTGTGGGGTCACCTCTCAATTTCATTTTTCAAGACAAGGTAATCTTTTGAGGTTGTGCTAGAATAAAACTGTATTTATATTTAGTAAGGGTTGCATTAAAAGTGGGTCACAGATAATAGATAACAAATTTCCAATCATGAATTGTATTGGTCTTTTGAGTAAAAGTGATACAGTGAAAAGAATTTTCAGCCCAGAGTCAAGGGACCTAGTTCAAATCCTGTGGCATTCACTAGCAGTTAGACTCTTGGACAAAGGACTTAATCCCCCTGGAACCTCAGTTTTTTCTTGTAAAGTGGAGTTAATTAGTGTCTATGCCATAGAGTTAAAGACTGAATGGGAAAATATATGTGAAATTGCTTGGCATATAGTAGACATCCGATGAATATTGGGTTAATTCCTAAATGACTGCTCAAAATTCATTAACTCTTCATTCCCCTTGTATTTATTCTTGTCATCCTTGAAATACCATTATCATTATCTAACATTGCAACAGCACTTTATATTTGGAAACATTCTTTGTCTCATCAATCCTTTGATCTAGTTTCTATAATGTGAAGCAGGAAGAACCCGCGAGGCCTAACAAGAGGCGGCATAAGAACAGATACTAGATGCTCAAAAGCTCTGAGTCATAAACTCTGATCACTGAAATGTCCTTCTACAACAGTGCTTGTGTGGTTTAGAAAGATTCCAGAAGCAGCATTATATTTCCTCTGGGGGCAGGAATCAGGTTAGAATCGAGAGTTCAAGAAATTAGAAACTCTCCAGGCTGATCTAACTCTGGAACTAGAATCTACAGATGCCGAACATTAAAGTAAACAGCCAAAGAAAGGAAAAGAAGCTTCAGACAGTTTAAACTTAAAATATTGGGAAGATAAGCTATTTTATCCCGAGAATATTTCTCCAAGAACCTGAGAAAAAAACCAGAATTAATTTGGTGGATGTTGTTGGCTATAGAGACAATAGAAACTCTGAATTATTCTTTTTGTTTGCCAGCACACACACAAAAATACTACTTAATGTAATATATGCATTAATACTGACAAGACAGATATTTATCTAGAGTAAATATCCTAGTAAAATCATATAATTTTGATTTCCTGTGCAAATCAAATTCTCCTTTTTATTTTTGGTGAGCAGTGGAAATGCCCAGCTAGAAAAAACAATGGGAAAGGGTCAAGCAATTGGCAAGGACTATTTCCTAAGTAGCAGGGAGTGGTAGAAGGTGTGAGCTGCCAGGCAGCAAAGTCCAGCCTTCGGTAGCTTGCTCTCTTCCTCCTGCTCTGCTCTTCCACTCTTCTGCTCTCTATCTTGCTGTCTCATTTTCTCTTTCTACTCTGTGATGATCCATTAAGTAGAAAGGGAAACATTTTTGTCCCCCCTCCCCCCAACATTTTGTGTTGAGATACCCATACGTTTTTGATAAGTTCCTCCTGGGATGTATTCCAGACTGTGACTTTCTGAGGACACCATTCGTTCTGTGGGAATGCTTGGTGTGGGCTTAGATAACTCTCTCTATCCACTTCTTGGGCCTCCTGCGTGTGCAAACAGGGTGGAAAGAAATTTGCAGCATGAAAAACATCACGTTGGCTTAGCCATTCACTGCCCACTGTGTACCAGGCTCCTTGCTGGGCACAGGGGTTCAGAGAAAAAAAGAAACCATTGCTGTTCCTAATCTGGGAGAAGTGACAGACATTTAGATGCTATTTCAGAGATCCGAAGAAAGCTGTGAGAGTAGAGAGGTTGGGTAGCTGCCTGGGAATGGGGGAGCTTGTCACTGAAGGCTTCACCCAGGAGGCCATCTCTCAAATCCAGGAGGATGAGATGGAGCTGGGCAGGGGAAGATGAGGGTAGAGGAAGGACACTGAAGCAAAGAGAATGAATAACATGGGCACAGGTGCTACGGACTGAGTGTTCAACTTGGCAGACAGGAGGTCGCATGGCTCCAGAATGTCAGCTGGGGCCTGTGCCAAGTTGAATTTAGGTTTTCTCATTTACTCCTCAGAGAACCAATAGAAGTTTTTAAGCAGGTAAATGAGGTAATCAGATTTATTGCTTAGGAAAATAACTGAGGGTAGAGTGAGGAGAGTTG